ATTCCTAAAAGTTGCCAAATATGATTCTCTTTTCCTAAAACGTGTGTTTAATATAGTTAGATCAAATACAATAGCAAACTCTAGAATATTATCCTCGATATTGTTTCTTTCTTTAAAACCATACCCTCTATACTCATTCTCAAAGTTACTATAATCTTTGCCTAGGTAACCATTCATATCTCCTCTAATAAACAATTTTTCTCCATTTGGTATGGCTCACACTACCTCGTCCAAATCTTCCCAAAATTTTTGCTTAGTCTCTTGATCTAAACCTATTTGCAAGGCGTGAGCACTAATGACATTAACAGTTTCCTCTCTTAAAATAAGTTTAACATGTAAAATTCTATCTCTCTCTCTTTTAATCTCAACCACATCATCTTTTATATTCTTATCTATAATTATCTCCACTCCATTTCTACTCTTATCTTTACTTTTGTATTAAAGCTTAGAGCCCTACTTCTATCTCTTTGGCCTTTTTTCCTACCCGTTTAGTTTCATCAAGACATAAAATATTAATTTCTCTCCTAATCATGACCTCTCATATCTCTACTAGTTTACTAGTTAATGATCCTATATTCCAAGTAGCTAAGCGTAACTTACCTCCATAGATTAGCTTTTTTTACTTGCATTTGTTTGTTAGAACACGAGAACTCTTGCTTATTTGACACCACACTTGGGTGACAATGTGACGTGTCACTTTCAAGTGATGACCTAAACTCTTACCCATTTAACACTATAATCGAGCTACAGTGTAGCGCACCATTAGGAGGAGACAATGATTCAATAAAAATTTTTATTTTGGTTTTCTCATCATAGTTTGATTATGTTTTAAGTTAACCATCATCCTACCACCACCCTCTTCACTTTAGGTGGGCTTAGAATCAGCAATGTGATTACATACAAGCAAAGTTAAAAATAAAAAAATAAAAAAAAAGAAGAACCACGTTGTGTCACGTGGCACACCAAGGGAAGGGGATATCTGTACATTAGTAAAATTTAAAGTATAGATGTGAAAAGATAAAAAGAAGTAAAATTTACTTTATTGAGATTTATGTACACCATTTATTGAACATAAGTTAATAACTTGAGTTTTTTTCTTTTCTTTTTCTTTTCTGTTTTTATAGTCAAAGTATTTAGTTACTATTCTGAATTAATTGTTAAAAGAAACTGAGTTCTTTGCTAATTTTTTAGTAAAAAATTCCTTCTATAAAATTATGGGGCAAAAATACAACATTTGATATGCAATAAAGCATTTCCAAAAGGGAAAAAAGAACAAGAGTCCCAAAAATAATACTAGTAGGAGGCCATCATACAGATGGAAATTTGAACCAGTTGGCTTTGGCTTGCTTTGAGTAAATTTTATTTTGCTGTGGTCCGTGGAAGAATTAATGATTATTTTATGGCAGATGCTTGTTTAGTTTAGAACTAGATTGGTAATAAGTCATCAAAAGGAGCTCAAATTCAAACATACTTATCTAACAGGCCAAAATTTTAATTGAAAAACAATCTTTTCTCTAGTGAATCAATTGTAGAGAATTTCAGAATTTGCCTAGTCGTTCCAGAGGATGGAAGGAAACCAATTATTATTCAAAACAACATCCTCGAGCAATTTAAACATAATATACAGACTCATAGATTGGCACACAAAATTAACATCTTAAGATACATAGTAAGAATAAAAGAATCATACTCTATTGCCTAACACATAAACTACATCCTAAAATCCCTTTCTCACTCGCTTGTTGAAGGAACTCCTGCTCCATCATCACCTGAAGGTGCAGAACTAGCAGGTGTCTCTAGTCTAATCTCTTCTAGCTGCTGAATAACCTGCCGAACTTCTGGTCGCGCTGATGGTGACGGATCAACACAATGTAATGCCAGTTTCAAAGTGTTTAGTAACTCATCGCCAATGGAAGATGCATCCCTCATCAACTCCAGATCAAAGACTTCATTTGTCCACTCTTCTTTCACTATAGAGGCAACCCATTGTGGCAAATCCACACCATTCATTGCCTCTCCAGGAGATTTCCCTGTTAGGAGTTCTAATATAATAACTCCAAGGCTGTACACATCAGTTTTTGTGTTAGCTTTCTTGAGCTTTGAAAGCTCTGGTGCTCTATAGCCTAATGCTCCAGCTGTTGCAATTACGTTTGCATTTGCAGCTGCTGTCATTAGACGAAAAAGGCCAAAATCTGCTATTTTAGCATTTGTATCCTCATCAAGTAAGACATTGCTTGATGTAAGGTTCCCGTGTATAATGTTCTCTTGAGTGTGAAGGTACAGCAAACCTCGAGTAACCCCCTTTGCTATTCTCATCCTTGTTGGCCAATCAATGGGTGTGTCTGGGCCTCGAGCTGGGCAAGATAGAACACATTATTTGTTGGATGAAAACTGCAATATTTTATTAATCAAAATAGTAGTAGTTTGAATTTTACGTACCATGAAGGAAAGTTGCAAGACTACCTTTAGGCATGTAATCGAATACAAGAAGCTTCTCCCCTTTAGGTCCTAAGTAATATGCCCTCAACGCCAGAAGATTTGAGTGTCGGATTTTGCCCAGCACATTGACCTCATTTTCAAATTCTCTCTGACCTTTGGTAATCTTTTCTCTAAGTCTCTTCACTCCTACCTGGTTTCCATCCTCTAATGTGGCCTTATAAACAGTCCCATAGGTGCTCTTCCCCATAATCTCAGCAGTTGCACACAGAAGATCATCAGCAGTAAAAACCAAGGGCCCATCAAAATGGACTAGTTTCCCACCAGCCTCTCCTCCTGCTTCAACTTCACCAACAGCAGGTGGAGTTCCCTTTTCACCTCTTGCTGCAGCAGTAGCAGCAGCTCTGTTTGTTGTTTGACCATTTTTTGCTTTTGATGTTGCCCTTCTTCTGATCAAGCAACACAGCAAAATGAAACAAAGAACAAGCAGAACTATAAGAAGGGCTCCAGCAGTAATTAGGATTATATCTTTGGTACTCAATTTTCTATGTTTATGGCTTGATTTCTCGGATGGTGAAGAAGGGACATTTTGAGAAGGGCATGGAGGTGATCCAGAATATCCGCATAACTGAATATTTCCCACAAAAGAGCTTGCATTGAACTCTTGGGAGAGTGGAGGTGGAACAGGACCAGAAAGGTCGTCATATGAAACATTTAAAGAATTAAGATCTTTAAGATCAGCAAGAGAAAATGGGATTTGTCCACTGAGCTTATTCTCTGACAAATCAAGTTGAGTTAAACTGGAACAATTTCCTACAGTTGCCGGAATTGGACCACTAAATTTGTTTCTCTTCAAAACAAGAACAGAAAGGTTATGTAAACTGTCAATGGATTCTGGTATTTCGTTTTCAAGAGCATTGCTTTCCAGGTTTAAAAGAACAAGAGAGGAAAGATTGGAGAGACTAGCAGGCAAGCTTCCATTAATTGCATTATAAGAAAGATCCAGATTCCTAAGCCTAGAAAGCCTCCCCATATCATTTGGTATGGATCCAGTAATCAGATTATGACTAAGGGAAACCTCTTGGAGCTCGCTTAACTTCACTAAAGAGGCAGGTATGCTTCCAGATAGGAGATTATGGTCAAGGGTTAAATACTGAAGTTGATAAAAGCCATTCTTTTGTGTTGCACCCCAAGAATCTGGGATGGAACCAGAAAGGTTGTTGTGTTGAAGGGCAAGAAAAGTAAGAGAAGTAGAGTGAGTGAAACTAGCCGGGATTGATCCTGAAAAAGAATTGAAGCTAAGGTTGAGCCTGTAAAGCTTAGTGGAGTTTGCAAGACTCTCAGGGATTGTACCAGTGAGTGAATTATTACTAAAGTCAAGGGTTTGAAGCAAAGGACATGAACCTAATGAAGCAGGAATTGAACCTGAAAGCCTATTATTGAATAGCTGAACACCTCTAAGATCAGGGAGAATGCCTAATGCTCGAGGGATGGAACCACCAATGAGATTATCATGGAGGCTAAGCTTTCGAAGAGCTTGAAGTTGGCCAATTTTCTCAGTGATTCTGCCACCTAATCCTTTCCATGGGAGTTGAATAACTATGACTTGCCCTTGAGCACACTTGATTCCAACCCAACCACCCGAGCAAGCACCATAACCGCTATCATTCCAGCTTTTTAAGAACCCTTTGGGATCAATTAATTCTTGTTTAAACGTTTGAAGTGCTTGAAAATCCGCTGCAGTGACAATGACACCATCCCATGCCTGACTTGAAATTGGTTGAATGAAGAAGCAGACGAGCAGCTGAGGAAGCAAGAAAATGTGGGTAAAAAGAGAAATATCCTTCCATTTCTCCTTTTTCTTATTTGAAATACAGCGCCAATCTACACCTCTACAAATGAGAAACTCAAAATTTTGTTTCTCTATTGCCATCATGGAGTGGCAAAGAACTCACAAGTTGTATTTTTGTTTTCCCTCTCTCTCTTTCTCTCAAGTTTGATTCTGTTTTTTTGGTAGGCATGGAGGAATTAAACGGGAAATGGTAGATGAAGGGAGGTTTTGTACAAGAGAGGAAAGATAGCCCAAGAGGTGGGGGTATACCGTGAAAGAGCACGTGAAGATCTTATAGAGAGAGAGAGAGAGAGAGAGAGAAGAAGATGAATCTTTTTGTATTGGGAGAGAAAAAAACAGCAGACAATTGTCAGGTGGGTGCAATAAGGGAGCAGAGGCTCTTCCCTCTTGCACGCATATAACACAAGCCTAACGGCTAGTTTTTTTTCCTACGCCGCAACATTAACATTTGTTTTCTCTATTCTTCTCATTTCTCAATGCTTTCCTATATGTTTTGACCCTGTGCATGGATTGAATATGTGCTATTTTATTGACCTTGGCGCTCCTCTTACGGCTATCTTTCTTAAACGGGTCCAACAAAGTTGCAAAAAAATTGGTCAGCCATTTATAATTAGAAGAATGACCGTTGTACCCACGACAATTTACAAGGGTTTGTCTCTGTGGGCTTTCTAAGGGGGTGGGGGGGGGGGGGGGTTTGGTTAGCGACGCGAGGTTAAAATGAGATGTCATTATCTCAACTGTTGAATTTACTTTACTACCTGACAAAACGGGATCGATTGATGTCATCTTGAGGAAGGAAATGGTTCCTTCTTTGATGTACACCCCTTGGATTGGTCGATGTTGGCTGAGATTTCACCCTGTACGGATGAGGAAAAAGACGCAGGGGAGGTTACCTTTTTGCAGTTAATGATGAGAATCCATTTTAGAAAGGTTCGAAGCAATCCAGAATTATGACAACAGAAAAGGTTTAGTCATCATCATCAGGTTAGGTTTTGTGACAAGATTGCTAAAAGAAGGACGGCATATCCATCATCATCGGCTCAGGCTCTTCAACAGGCAAGATGGGTCAAATACTCAATAAAGGCCCAATTGAGACACATCCGAACTTGAATGGGAACTTCTGTTGAATATAAATTACAGAAGCGGGCATGGACAAAATACTTTGCAATCCGTACATATCCTGTAGTCATTTGAATGTACATGGTTAACTGTACCACAAAATAACATAAGTTAGTACATACAATGTAGTAGAGAACAGCACAATACAATATGACTCCCATCCAAAGACGTGACCTTTTCTCTGACCAGTTATTGGAGCCTAATTTGAATATAATAGAAATATAAAGATAATGGGATCATCCTGTCATATACCAGAAGCAGGAATCCAGCAAATGTTTTTAACCGTCCCATATACGGGACGTTGGATTTAAACACGAAGCAATTAGAAGAATGCTATCTCGTCTTTGCTTCACTAAACATAAACCCCAACCCTGGTCTATCCTAGGCAAAAGATAAGAGCCAACCGTTTACGCAGAACATAGTACCAGCACTAAAAATGCTTATTTGGCTACAACTTTCTGACAGCAGCAGATAATGGGTTATGGGAGGTATGGGGGGCTGCATAGCTACACGTTAAAATGGCATGAAAATGCTGTTCTGCACAAATAATAGAACAGTCTTGCACATGGATAACAAGAAAAGGCAACTTGGGCAGCTGATGGAGAATACTTTTTATCGGCAATAAATGATTTTATTAAGACTTTGCAGAGCTGGCAGGTAATCTCCGTAAGATAATGCTAGAAGTTGCATTAATTATGCCCCAAAACATCAAAGCTCTGGTAAAGAGGGAAACAACATTATTGCATCTTGCCAAAAAATTCCAGTCTAACCATCATATACCGTCCTATTTTACGCTCTCAAATTAGGTGTTACAAGCATTACTCTACATACCAAGTCATGATCCATCATTCCTGTTTCTTATACACAACAATGACAATAGTCCCCTAGCGAAACCCATAGAGGGTTACCTTACCCCAGCTATCTACCGTAAAAACCATAACCAACACTAAAAATGGTTGTATGTAGATAAGTCACTCTGAGAAAGATGGATGCTATTTTGTATGCAGTGACTTGGAACATAAAACAATGAGAACGTCCTTGCAGTTACCTCGAGATTTTAGCACAAGCAAAGACTGCAATTGCACTTTTCTGAGAAGCTAGGAGTTCCATGCATGTATGGGTATAGAAGACCATATTACCATGTGGGGATGACATGTTATATTCAAATCATAAAAGCTCGTGAGTAAGCAAACTTTTACTCTTAATCCTACACCATACACTCACAAGCAGAAACTCAACAACCAAGAGGAAGTAAATAGAACATTCCATCATCACCAGCTAATATTAGATAATAACAGAAACATATACAAACCTGACTCATATATCTCACAAGAAACACTAAAAATAATCTTAGGCAACTTTTGGCAATCAAAGAATAGTTTTAACTCTAATTGCACAGAAATTTAATTCCTTGTACAAGTCGATTGATGATTCCCCCAATCAAAATAGGATAAATACAGCAGCCAAATCCAAACAAACAGAACCAACTAACCATTGAAGCTAAAAAGATTCCTACCAATGGTGTTAACCAACCAAGCTATCGAATGCCCAACATTCTTGTAAGCTAGAATCAATATACCGTTGAATCTTTAAGCGGCAACCAAAGCTACAGGACACACCAGCTAACTAGCTTGAACCTTAACCCAACTCATTTCAACGAAATGAAACAGAAAAGTACCAAATTAGAGATCCTTCAATCATAAACCCTCACTTTCACAGACAAGTAACAACCAAAATGTTCACCTTTCTCCATTCCAACTACAACCATAAACCTTTCCCTAAGCCCCTTCCAATTCTTTTAATTTGCCAACAATAAAATCATTGAGCTAAACAAAACACAACTTTCCTAAAATACAGACAATTAGTATCTTCATAAATTCTTATCCACTATATTTAAAAACAACCTCATAAAACCTTCAAAACAAACAGAAAAAGAATGCATAATAAAATTATACATTTAACAAATTAAAACTTAATCTAAATTTCATCAAAATCAAAATTTCAAGCGGCAAATAATACAACATCTAAATCAAAACACAAAAGATCTAACTCTTAATCCAAGTTCAATCCAAATCTAAATACAAACAAGACAGCAAAGCTACAATTGAATATTTTAATCTACCATGAAAACGGTAAATCATTTTTGATTTACCATAAACGAAGATAAAGAGTTCATGCGCATGTGCAGCTTGAAAGATCTGCTGTTCACACGCGTGAGGCAACTGCAGGGGCCGCCGCAGCGGCAGCTGAGGAAGCGGCTCCGCCGAGGAAGGAGAGAAATCCAGAGTTGGAAGGCTCCTGATCGTCTAAGAACAAGTCCTCTGGAACCCTAAACGAACCGTGTATGCAAATGATGGCTACTCCTATCAAGAGCGCAGAGATCAAGAGCGATCCAACGCTGGTCATGAACACGACAAAGACGGTCAACACCACCAACACACCAAGCGTCTCGCGATCGGAGATCGTACGGCCGAAGATCACGAGAGGTTGATCCGACGGTCGGAAAAGGTACAGTAAGACCCAAGCGGCGAGAAGGCCGAGGAGGACGAGGAGGGAGAGTGGATGAGAAAGGAGAGAGAAAGCGAGTACAACTGCGAGTATAGTTATGTAATTGACTTTGAAGTAGGAGAGGTTTTTGCGGATCCGGGAATAGGCGTCCGTTAGATTATCGGGACGGGCCATGGCAGTCCGATCGATCAGTTCGTACCAGGGACGGCGTTGGGAGAATCCCCGACGGATAGAGGATGTTAGTCGTGAGAGGAAAGCACGGAAAGCGGGCGTAGCTATCGGGGGTTGTGACTGGGCCCCACCACCCGCCGCCGATTGAGAGCTTGTCATCGGAATGGTCGAGGGGGTCGCCATGGGTGGCCAGTCAAACAGAAGGAACTGGTGGCGCGTAGGATTCTTGTAACGGAACGGCAGCGTTTGTTCCAATGGGGTTTTGTTTTGAGTCTTCGAAATACAAGTGATTGTTCTACTTACGGCGTTAGTTTCAATTTTGAGTTATGATTTCTGCTGCGATAGACGGTAGATTTGTTATTGAATTCAAGTGAACGGTGTGGATGAAGAGTTTAGGGTTAGCTCGTTTGCAGGGGGATATAATTTCATTTTCTTATTATTTTTATGCTCAAAATAAATATCAGGCAATGAGTCTTAAGAGTACTTTAGGATTATTAAATTTGCAAATTCAGAATGCACAAGGATTGATTACATCGCGGAAGGGAAAATTTTTTTCTCAAATTTGATTTTTGTGAAAAGTATTTGGAAAGTAAAATTTAATATTTAAATCAACATGAAAAAAAATTATATTTATTAAAAAAATTAAACTCACGCAAAATCTAAAAATACCATTAATCCAAGATATTACTCATTAGACTTTTATTAATATCTTATTAGCATAAGGATTACATTATATTAGACTTCCTACCCAAAAAAACCAAAAAAAAAAAAGGATTACATTAGAATATGATGAATCACGATAATAGAATTGACTACTATAAGTTGATGCTCAATTAGCGGATGTATATATTGAATAAATATATAATTTAACTTAACTAAAATTGTCGCATTATGAAAATGGAAATTAGCTTTATTTCATGCTATGCAATAAGAAATTATGCTTCCCTTAAATGGATGGACATGAACTACCTAACCTCACCATTGTCTAAATTTCCAAGATTCTCCTACTCGACTTTCTCACCCTTTCACTGCTGCCAAATATCTCTGCTCCTTCGTCCCAAAACACAGTTTGTCAATTGCCTATGCAAAACTTGTATGGGGTGCTTTAGCATGCTTAAACTTCAATATTTCCATACTTCTCTTATTTCTCTCCAAGTTGAGCAACTAATATTTATCAATATTTCTCTCCAAGAAATTTATTGTGTTGATCACACTGATTCATCTGTTCTTTGTTGCTGGATTAATTACCATTAACCTTCCGATACATGTTAAGATCCTAAAGTTTAAGTATGGGTTTTTGTTTAAATCCTTGTTAGAGTTTGCTATTGTTTTTGGTACTGTTTTCCTTTTACACTTTATCCAGGAAAGGCAGGCAGCTGATCTCTTTTTGTTTTGCTTTTGCATTACATACCTTGTGTGCCTCGAGATTGATCACAGGCTTAGACCTTTCCATCATGATTGTGTTCATTGGTATGTCATTAGACATTGCAATTGATGTGATGAAGAAGCTGGGAAACATGATTCTAATTTGCTTTGCAATTGCATCTTTCTTTGTTTTGCTCATTCGGAACTATATCGAAAGACAAGATCAGCTCTTACCAAGAAAGATATCTTGCCCGCTGAAAAAGATGAAAGTGAAACATCTAATGAAGACTATAATGATGTAAGGCTTCAACTATTGGGTGCATAAGCTTTACTATGAGCCAAAAGAGTACACCAGAAAGTCCATACATATATGTTAGACATTACTTAAATCTAAAAGTTTAAGCTATTGAGTTTTTAAATCCTTCATATATATATATATATACAACATCTCAATCTTATTTTTGGATAATGTGAGATTCTTTACTCACATGTGAATATTATCTCAACAATCTCCCTTATTCGTTTATGAGTTCTAATCAAGTCTTACATTTACTTTCCTGTGAAAATAAGTCCTTTCAACACCTTCATTGACAACTTCACGTCTTGTATAGTCTTAGTGTACCTTAGGCCTACCTTAAACCCAAAATTCAACTTAGGGGTGTAAATGATACATGAGTACTCACAAGCTATTCGGGTTTGATTTGAATTAAACACAAATTCGGTTAGATTATTATCGAATCGAGCTTAAGCTCCAGTAGCTCGACTTATCGATCGAGCCGAGTTCGAGTATTCTTATACCCGGCTCGAGTAGCTCGCGAGTCTAATCAAGCTTTTATATTTAAATTTTTATTATTATTTTAATCAATAAAATATCTCGAATTCGAGTTCGAGCTCGAGCATAAATAATCGAGCTCTATCGAGTATAAGAATTGAGCTTATTTTAACATATTAATCAAACGAGTTCGAGTAGCTCGATTTTGATCACGAATCGAGCTCGAGCTAGGAAAATGAAACTCGATCAAATTCGAGCTAAGTATCAAGCCTTGAGTTAGGAGTCGAGCTTGAGCTCAAGTTTCTCACTGTATCTGTTCGACTCGATTACACCCCTAATTCAACCTTGTCATTCTATAGGTCTAAGTTATCTCAATGCCTCTCAAGCTTGGACTTAATCATAGTACACAACCTTATTGCCTAGGTTGTCTCAATGCCTCTCAAGCTTACAATTAATCACAGCCTAGACTCAATCTTGCACTCTATCACAAGTTGACTAAGTACATCACTCACTCTGGTGTTTCACTTCTGCATATTATCATATACTCATTGTAATCTAAGTCAAACCTTACTGACATACCACTTGTTGGACCTGAAGCAACAAATACAATAATACAAAAATAATATATCATAACAAACACATAGTAATAGACAAAAATCAATAATCCAAAATATAAAAAAAAATAAAAAGCATACTAAGATTTATGTGAAAAATCTTCTAATGTAGAGGAAAAAAATCACGGACCACAAGAAAAATTTTTATTATCAAATAGTAAATATACAAAGTTTTTTTCTAGCTAAACTAGAGCTAATCAACAGTAGATAGAAAATTGGAGAACTCTCACCAAATAGGTAACTCAACAAATATACTTTAAATTTGTTTCTATAAAGCTTCAAACCCAGTCTTCACCATTCAAAATGTAGAACTCTAAATCATAAGCTGACAAAATTTCAATTCAATTGAACCATAGATTGACTTTTGTTCAACCAACTTTCTTTTTTTTTCTCTCTCTACTTTTTGGTTTTTTTTCCCTTTTCGATTTTGGTGCCCCTATTCTATTATTGTTTTAAGGCTTTATTTTAAATTAAAGGTCAAAAGCCCATGGCCTTTGATTGGCTAAAACTAATTACATGGTGATGAACCCCACATATTCCTAACAATCTCTCCCTCTAACCTAATTAGGAGGAGATTCATTACCATAGTAGTTTCATTTGAAACTTACCTTAAACAAAGAACCCATTATGATCAAGTTACTACAGAGCTCAAGCTTTTTCCTATGAAGTGTCTTAGTAAATATATCTATTGCATTCTCATTAGTATGAACTTTCTTCAACAATATCTATTGTTTTTCAATCACCGAATGCAGCCAATGATATCTAACATCAATGTGCTTTTATTTTAGCAGAGTACATGACATTCTTACTCAAATCTAAAGCACTCTGGTTATCACAAAATACCACATACTCTTTTTGATTCAATCCTAATTTAAGAAAAAAAGTTTCACCCAAAGCATTTTTTTACTTGCTTCGGTTACTGCAATATACTTAGCCTCTGTAATTGATAAGATAACACATTTTTGTAACTTAGACTACCAAGACACAACTCATTCTGTAAAAGTGAACAAATATCCTGAAGTAGATTCTTTATCATCAAGAACACCTACCATGTCAACATTAACAAACCATTTTAGAATTGGTTGTGAAACTTTATAACTCAAGCATATTTTTTAGGTACCCCTCAAATATCTGAAAATTTATTTCACTGCTTCTTAGTGAATTTTTTTCAAATTAGAAATAAATCTGCTCACTACATCAACTGTACGAGCAATGTCAATCCATGTGCAAACCATAAAATAAATCAAAAAATCAACTGCAAAAGAATAAGAAATACTAAACATATCTAGTTGCTCTTTTTTAGTCATCAGACAAGATTTTTTACTTAGATGAAAATGGTTTACAAGTGAACTGTTAACCAAATTAGCATGTTACATGCTAAATCTACTGAGTACCCATTTAATATAATTTTTCTATGATAACCACAGCTTTTTAACTTTCCTATCTCAGTTAATATCATACAGATAATCTGTTTTGCTAGACCTAAATCATTCATGTAAAAGGATTTAAATAATTATTCTTTCAACCTATGAACCATACTAGCATCTTATCTCACAATCAACATATCAGCAATATATAATAAGAGAATAATAAAATTATCATTAAAAATTTTTTGACATACATATAAGGATCTGTTGTCATTGTTTTATAGCTATGGCTCACCATAAAAGAATCAAACTTTTTATACCACTATCGTAGAGCTTGTTTTAAACCATACAAGTTTTTTTTTTTTCAGTTTAAAACTAAGTGATCTTTCTCTTTCACTTCAAAATCCTGAGGTTGATCCATATAAATGTTTTCCTGTAAATGATGATACAAGAATGCAGCATTAACATCAAGTTGTTCAAGTTTAATATTCAAACTAGTTGCTAATCTTAGTACCACTCGAATGAAACTCATCTTCATAATTGGAAAGAAGATCTCATTAAAATCGATGTCATATTTCTGAAAAAAAATCTTTTAACACTAATCGAGCTTTGTATCTTACTATTTTATCACCATCTTTTTTTAACTTGAACACCCATTTACTTTTTAATGGCCTCTTCCCTTTCAAAAGTTTAACAAGATTATATGTACTATTTTTTTATAGTGACTTCATTTCTTCTTTCATTATTTTTAACTAGTGCTATTTATCCAAAGAGTCTGTACATCTTGAAAGCTCTCTAACTCTCTTTCGCTAATAACTAAAATAAAATTTGAACTTAAATACCTGGTGGATGGCCTTTGCTCTCTAGTAGATCTTCTTGTTGGGTTAAAAACCTCCAATTCAATCACACCAGCGGAAGCGAAATCAAACAATAAATCAAACACACAAGAGACAATAATTTAACGTGGTTTGGTCCAACTGACCTACATCCACGGATGAGAAAAAAGATCCACTAGTTGTAAAGAATTACAAACATACATTAAATCATCAACCTCACTCAACAATCAATACTCATAAGACACTCTCAATCTCCTCTAGTCCTATGAAGTATTCTCAACCTAAACAAACACAAACCCAAACTCTTTTGCACATTTTCAACACAACCAAACACATACCCATATGTTCCCATACATCATACTTATGTGGACCCTCTCAGTCTCCTCTAGTCCACTCACAAACAAACATACAAACCCATAAGACGTAGAGCCTCAATACTCCTATAGGGTGTCTATCCCACAAAACCCTACAACTCTCTTACATCTTTTTCTCATACCTAACCCTGTAGAGACTTCACCTATTTATAACCATACAAACTTGCCCATTAAGAATCCCTCTCCTCTTAGAATTCTTCTCCT